TAATCACAATAGACTTATTAAATTGTCAATACCTAATTAATTTTTAACTCAAATAAAAAATATAAACCTATTATATTTAAATTAATATAATTATAAAAAATTATAAAAAATCGGTTAATTTGGTTAACCAACCGAAATAACCGAACTATGTTCGGTTAGGTTAATATTTTCAAAAAAAAAGTTTGGTTCGATTAACGGTTAAAAAAAGTTTGGTTAATTCGGTTAATGGTAATTTGGTTCGGTCGGTGGCCGAATTAACCGTTTGAACACTCTTATTTTCACTTATTTTTGTTTTTATTTTCCAGAAATCATTTTCTAATTTTACAACCAACCATGTTTTCTTCGACGTTTTTTATTTTCTAAGAAAATGAAAATGAAAATAATCAATATTTTTTTAAAACCAAACAGACTCTTAGGTTTTTATAATTTAGTTATTTATTTTTATTTTTTTATTAATAATATAATTGTGCACTCGTTAAAATCTTAATATAAAATTTTAAGTTCGTATAACTAAAATAAGATTTTACGTTCGTCCCTACATATAAGGCCATATTTTAGTATTGTTTGGCTTTGGATTGTTAATTTACAGATTGTATTCCACCAGACACAAGTGATTTAGAAGAGCTATCGTCAGGTCCGTTTTTTAGATTTGGGTGTCCTATGGACGAACATAGATATTAGACCTCCAATAACAAATGTGGAGAAAATTTGAATTATAAGAGTAAGAAAAAAGTAAACTAATCTACTTGTAAATTGTATTTTTTATTACGCTTAATAAATTATCTAATAAATATATCATATTTCAAATAAAAAACAACAATGAATTTTATTGAACACCCAAGTATAGAACTACTCACATAAAATAAATAGACTTTTATTTTAAGTTTCGAATAGGTGTCCCTCTTATCCAAGTTCAGCTACGACCCTGGCTATCGTGTTCGTGACTATGGGCTGACCGTAGTTGCCTTTCTCCTTGAAGAGTTGGATACGGTGACTTTTGCAGTTGATTATCCCTTCGTCGTGCTATGCAGTGAGTTTTGTACGAGTTAATGGTGCATGCTCCATGGGCATACTTGAATCAGCTCTTATGGCATTTTATGTTTCGGGTTTCACAATTCTCTATGTTGTTTTAAAAAAGTATAATATAATAAAATAATCCTAACGTTTGACATTGGTGTCAAACTTACCCGTATTATTTTTTTTTTGGAACATTTGACCACTCAACGTTTAGTTTTGGGTCAAAACCAACCAACAGTGGATGGAAACCGTCGGTCAACGCCTGATGCTAGGGGCAATAACACATGGAGGGAAAAGTTAAGGTGGATGTCCAGCTCAGGGTGATTGATGACGTTTATTATTAGAGAAGGGGAATAGCAACAAGTGTTTTAATTTTTTTCATTAAATTCAAACTGAATCATCTATTAAATAGGTTTTGTTTCATTAAATAACTAAGTAAGTAGCTTGATATGGTAGCAAAGTGAATTTCATTTCATCCTTTAGACCCAGGTTTGAGTCACTCCCCATGCATTTCACATTTTCATTGTTTTATTAACCAAAAATCAATCAGAGAGTGACAAGTGTCATTTTCTAATTGGCAACAATTAATTAAATATAAATAACAAAGTTTATTTTTTTTTAAAAATCTGATGTGGCAATGCCACGTCATCAATTACCATGAGCAAGACATACACGTCAACTTTTCCCTCCATGTGAGCGTGCCCTGTCAGCATCAGGCGTTGACCGTCAGCCGACTGACGGTTTTCATTCACTGTTGGTTGTTTTTGACTCAAAACTAAACGTTGAGTGGTCAAATGTTCCAAAAAATACAATACGAGCAAGTTTGACACCACTGTCAAACATTAGGGTTATTTTATTGCATTATGCCTTTAAAAAATTACAACAAGTTTTCTTAAAATTATTTCACACTGATCAATGTGCAAAATAAAGATCATATATTTCTTTTTATAAAAGTTATCAATTCTATCATCATCTCTCTCAAATTTCTCGATTACTATTTCATTTCTAAATTTTTCATATAATATTTTAAATTTATACCCTCATATCTAAAATCCTCAACAAATAAAGCACCTGCGACCGATAAGTCTTTATAATGTTGTCTATAAAATTGTTTCTAAGGTACTAGTTGGTCGACTTAAGGGTCTTATGTCATTTTGTATTAATGAGACACAAGCTGCCTTTTTTCTGGTCGTCAGATATCAGATAACATCTGGATGGCACATGAGCTTCTTCATTATATGAATTCTTCTAAGAATGGTCCGAATAAAGAAGCTGCCATTAAATTGGATATGGAGAAAGCGTACGATAAAGTGGAGTGGTCTTTTCTGCGAAAGGTTATGTTAAATTTGGATTTTTGTTCTGATTGGGTTAATCTTGTTATGCGATGTGTGGAAACTGTCTTTTTTTCCGTTCGTATCAATGGTAGCCTTATGCAAGAGTTTTGTCCAAAATATGGCTTAAGACAAGGGGACCCTTTATCTATATTTTTATTTCTTTTTTGTACTCAAGGATTATCTATTCTACTTAACTCTTTACAAGATCAAAAGCAGATTCGTGGCATTAGGGGTTAGTCAGAATGGGCATAAGGTTACTCACCTGTTTTTTGCCCATGATAACATTATCTTCATTAAAAATTATGTGAAAGAGGCTTCTGCTATTCGTAATGCTCTTTGTGTTTATGAAGCTGCATCTGACCAGAAAGTTAATCTTGAGAATTCGTCTTTATATTTTAGTCCAAGTACAAGTCAAGGATGTCGTGTCCAAATTTCGTGTATCTTGGGTATTGGTGAAGTGTCTGAGTTAGGCTACTATCTGGGTATTCCTCTTCACATTGGAAAAAAAATAAGAGAAATACCTTTGGTTATTTGAAGGAAAAGGTGTCTAAATGTATTTACGGGTGGACAAAGCATCTGCTTTCTTATGGCAGTCGGGAGATGTTTATTAAAGCTGTCGCCCAAGCTCTTCCCCAGTATATTATATCATGCTATATGCTTCATGAGAGTTTAGTTTAGGGTTTTGTAGGTAATATGGTGATGCTAATAAACGTGGTTGCCAATGGTAGCTTGGAAAACAATGGGCAAACCTAAAAGAGAAGGTGGAATGGGGTTTCGGGACTTGCATAGTTTTAATTTGGCTTTATTGGGTAAACAATTATGGCGTTTTATTAAAGATCTGGATAGTTTACTATCTCTGGTGTTTTGTGCTAAATATTTTCCAAATGGTAATCTGTTGAATGCTAAATTAAAAGACAGAAGTTCCTATGCTTGGAAAGGATTGTATCATACCTTACAAGAGCTGCATGGGGGTCTTTTATGGCGTATTGGTGCTCGTAGTAATAAACGGTTTTATCATGACATCTGGGGTGGCTCCAAAGCTGTTTGTCTTACATAGAGTTATTCTGACTTTGATTTTAACCCTCTCTCCTGTGTTGATATTATGCTTGATGGTACTAATGTTTGGAATGAACCTTTGATTTATAGGTTGTTTTCAAGGGACGATGCTTTACAGGTCCTTTCAGTTCCTATTGCACCTTGTGCCAAATATATTATTATTTGGGCTAATCATGATTCGGGTCTTTATTGAGTTAGATATGGTTATTGGTGGTTACATAAATGATCTCATGATAACGAGAGGAAATCTAAATTGTGGTCAATTATAGTTAAATTGAAAATTCTTCCTAAGATTCGTGTGTTTGCTTGGCGGGTAGGCCGGAATGCCTTGCCTTTAGGTAGTTTCCTTATAAGTGCGGGTTTAAATGATGGCTTACGTTCTCTGTGTTCTACTGGGGAGGAAACGATTGTACATGTTTTGAGGGACTGCCCATAACTTTGGAGGTTTTACGTATGGCGGATTTACCTGCTTCTGTCTATTTGAGTACTACAGATAGTTCTCTTTTATGGCTGGAGGATTTTTTTTCAATTCTTGGAATTGACTCTTTTGCTGGTTATTTGACTATTTTATGGAATATTTGGAATAACCGAACTTTTGTTCATAATGATAGGTTGCAACCGACTTGGATATTGGTGACCAATGCTAAGGTACTCCATCAAGATTATTTACAGTCTCTTAGTATGGGGATGGATACGTCGCGAACTGCTGATATAATTACTAGATGGGTTCCTCTTTGGAGGGGATCATCAAAGTAAATATGGATGGTGTATTTGTTGAGGAGCGACGACTGGAAGCTCTTGGAGTTATTGCTCGTGATAAGAGTGGGCAGGTTTGTGGTGGTTTGGCAGACTTCTATTGGATATTTTTAGGCGGGATTTGTGGAACTTTATGCCTTGCTTGCAGGTCTTAGGATGGCTATTGATATGAGATGGTCTGATGTTCAGTTTTAAATTAACTCTTTGTTGCTCATCAATAAGATTACACGAACTTCTATGGATATTTTTATCTTGGGGGTGTATGTTCAGGAGGCTCGTACTATTTTTTAGGATCATCCTTATTTTTGTATTATGTATGTCTCTAGAGAATGTAATCGAGTTGCTCATATCTTAGTTAACTGGGCTTTACTTTCGAGTGGTTCTTTATTTTTTGAAACGGTGTGTCCTGATATTATTTCTCAAGAAATTATAAACGATGTACTTAATCTTTGATTAATAGATTTGGACACTCTTTTCCTTTCCTATGATTAGAAGAGATTTTTAACGAGTCCTATAGTTTTTTCCTTCCTAAAAAAATCAATTACTAATAAAGAATAATATATTCTCAAAAAAAAAAAATACATTTGCTGTATGTCCTATGAAAAATCTTATCCTACGTAATATTATTACAAGTTTTCTGGGCCGTTATTGTCTGTGTCCCTGCTCACGGGAAATCATCTGTACGCCAATTAATAACATCCACGTCATAGGAATGTGGACCCCATAGAAACGTCCTTTTCGTTTCGACCGTGGATTAAACCAAATCTAGGGATGTTTTTTTTTACATTATAATAGTATTATTATTATAATCTTCTCTCATCTCAGGAAAAGAAAAAAAAGTACCAGACTCATATTTGCAACACACTAAAACAGCACCTGTTTCCTGCTCGATGCTGGCCACAAAAACCCTAATTTAATCCTCATCGATTGGCGATGTGCGGCACCCACTAATCCCTTCACCATTCCGGTTATTCTTTTCTCTGATACATGCGTGGAGTCGGAGAAAATCGCACTTTCCCGAAGAAAACCCTAGAAATTTATCACCATTTCCCCCCTAAACCAATATCAACTGTAGCAATAACATCATGGCCATGCCCAATGAACTAGCGCAAAAGCAACTGCCGTCGATATCCGAGCGGTTCAAGGCTTTATTGAAGCAACGGGAAGATGAACTAAGGGTTTCCGGATGTGTCGCCGATGACGATTTAGGGGCAACGCTGACCACGGAGGAGATTTTGCAGCTGTACGAGATTGTGTTATCGGAACTTACTTTCAATTCAAAGCCGATAATTACTGATCTCACGATCATTGCCGGTGAACAGCGAGAGCACGGCGAAGGCATTGCCGATGCTATTTGCTCCCGAATTATTGAGGTTAGTTAAAATTAGGTTTTCCGTTGTAGCTGCTTAGTGATTTGAACATTTTAAAAATCAATTTCAAATTTATTGCTTTCAGGTTCCAGTAGAGCAGAAACTTCCTTCTTTATATCTATTAGATAGCATTGTGAAAAATATTGGCCGAGAATATGTTAGGTATTTCTCTTCCCGTTTGCCAGAGGTGAGTCAATGGCAATATTTTTGATAAAGTTCATTTCTTTACCATTAGTTTGATGTTGATTATACGTTTAGTTAATTATTTTGGTTTTCATTTTCGTAGGTATTTTGTGAGGCATACAGGCAAGTTAATCCTAACATGCATCCTGCAATGCGTCATTTATTTGGTACGTGGTCTACTGTGTTTTCGCCTGATGTCCTCCGTGAAATCGAGATGCAGTTACAATTTGCTCAACCTGCAAGCCAAAAATCGTCTACTGTAACTTCCCTGCAGACTTCCGAATCGCCTCGTCCAGCACATGGCATACATGTTAATCCTAAGTACTTGCGGCAGTTTGAACAACAGTCAGGTGAAGAGAGTGTAAGCAATGCAAAACTCTCTTCTTTGTATCCTCTGTTTTATTAGTAGATTCTTGCTTATTGCTCCATTCTGTAGTTGTATACACATGCACTATTTAGGATATAACTACAAATCATGTTTTTCTTTTGAAAATTTCTTTGAATTAGATGCTGCTTGCAGTTATATATCCTTCTTGACAGAACTGTTTTTGGTACTTCAGGAAAGTGGTAAAAGCCGATTTATATTTTGATCACTGGGGATGGGCTGGAATGAGGGGTAGAGTTGCCGGGATGTTTAGGGAAATTGATATATTAAGATTTCTTTCTGTTAAGTTATTTGCTGAGAATTAGTTGGAACATTGTTATGAGATGAGAGCCTTAACATGGGACTTCAGCAAGTAAAAGTAAACTTTGTTTTATCATCTGTTCAGTGTTGGTGAGCAGCATGATATCAGGTTTTTTAGTTCTAGAACTTCAAGAGAACAATGGAGATGAAGAGCAAGAAATCTATGAGTGCAATTACTTTAAGAAACTTACAAATCTAAAATCTAGATCTATTGGAACAACTGGGCTGTAGTAACTTATTATTCTGATTTTGAGGGAATGTAGTGGGAAAGCTGGAAAGCTTTATTGTCTTTTCCACTGCGCTTATATGGCTTTTTTATTAAATTTTCCTTTTCCCTTCCTGTTCCTTCCCAACTTTGTGTTGAGCATTGTGCTTCTTTTCCTTAAATTTTGTTTAAAATGTCTTTCTTTTGACACAAATCGTATGCTCTTTTGCTATTGATTAGGATTGCTAACTGTGACTGCTAAACACGTTGGGAAATCTTTTTAAAAATATGTTTGTTGTGTCACTGTACATGCATTTTTATATGCTTGCTTTGTACAGAATAGCATCTGAAGTGATGTTCTCAATCATCGCAGAATACTCAGCATGTAAGAAGCATGTCTTCCGGTCAAAAATTGTATGGTCAAAAACATAACATTGGATACGATGAATTTGATTCTGATCATACTGTGGTTCCATCCTCACATATTGGTGTACAAAGATTGAGCTCAACTGGAAATGTTGGGCGTACTTCTGTTGCAATTGGGGCTAAGAAGCCACAACTTTCTTCAGCTTCCAGAGTTTCAAGACCCTTCTCATCATCAACGACTGGATCTGATAGACTAATATCATCAGAAGTTGATGATCTGCCATCAGATGATTCTCCTAGAAGGTTTGCTGAGATAGCGTCTCCATTTCGGCCTGGCTTTGATTTTGGATGTAGAAGAGGAACCATCAGAGATGATGAAACAAGAGAGTGGAAGAAGAAGCACTTGTATGGAGATTACCGTAATTCTTCTGAAAGCTCTTTGAATGCATACAAGCTTAGTAATGGAAATGAGCGCCAAACACTCAGGGCTTTAATAGATGCATATGGTAATGATAGAGGACAAGGAATGCCTAACAGGAAGCCTATACATGTTGAGCGGTTGGATGTAAATGGATTGGGAAATAAGGTGACTCCAAGATCATGGCAGAATACTGAAGAGGAAGAGTTTGATTGGGAAGATATGAGCCCAACATTAACAGCTCGAAGGAGCAATGAATTTTCAGTGTCATCTGTTCCCGCTTTTGGAAGCATCGGAGCAAGACCTGCCGGAATAGAGTCTAATAGTAGGAGCAGTCGCACCCTTGTTGATGATTCTTCAGCAATTCCTGAAGATGCAGTTTCTTCCCTGAGTGTATGCTAGTTCAACTTTTATCTGTTCCTTTTGTTGTTCAAACATCCTTCTTAGTATTAATACAACACAAGATATATATGTACTAAGAAAAGCTTGCTTCCTCTCCCTATCTTTTCTACTTATGTAGACTGGTGGATATTCTAGTTCTCATCACAGGTGATATTTCTATCACCGACCTCTAACTTAATTTTTTTGTAGTTGATTCAAAAATAAAATCTCATAAATCGTGAGGATTTGTGTGCTGGTGCAGCCTGTTTGGCATTCTATGCTTTTCATTTCTCTGTTGTTTAGTCCATTCTGAATTTCCAGACACCATTTTCTTTGTCAATTTATAGTTTTGCGGTGTATCTCTTATGTATTTGACATTTATGCTGTCAGTTGATATATTCCATTTTACATTTACACATTTTAATTTATTTTTTGCAGTCTGGTCGTGGATTAAATACGATTCAACATTCGCGTTATCCTCAGGATGCTTGGAGTTCCTCATACTCTTTTTCCCAGTCATCGCATCCCCTTCATGCCAAAGGAAGAGGAAGGGATTTCCAAATGCCCTTTTCAGCTAGTGGTATATCCTCCTTACTTGGGGACAACATCGTCTCTCCTGCTCTTGTGCCTAGGGGTGTAAACGAGCCGAGTCGAGCTCGAGTATTGCTGAGCTCGGCTCGACTCGAAAACTCTGAAATGGAGCTTGACTAGACTTGAAAACTCGCGAGCTTAAAATTTTCAAGTTCGACTCGAACTTGAAATCCTGAACTGAAGTTCATGAGCAGCTCGAAAAGGCTCGAAATGAATTTTTTTTTTCTTAAACTTAACTCGATTGAAGCCTCAAACTCGAACCTGAACCTTAAATACATGAAAATCTTACTGTATTTTAAAAAAAAATCAATACATAAATGTTTATATTATTCTTAAACTTGAAATCCTGAACTGAAGCTCATGAGCTCGAAAAGGCTCGAAATGAAAAAAAATATTCTTAAACTTAACTCGATTGAAGCATCAAACTCGAACCTGAACTTTAAATACATGAAAATCTTATTGTATTATTTTAAAAAATCAATACAAAAATGTTTATATTATTAATAATTTTTTTTAAATCTTAATATATTATATTTTCGAGCTGTTCATGAGCTTTTTGACTCGAATATCAAGTAGCTAGTTTCGGCTCGTTAAGGACTCGAGTCGAGCTCGAGTCGAGTTCATTCGATACGAGTATTTATCGAGCCTTGATCAAGTCGATCTTGAGTAGCTCGATCTGTCTCGTCTCATTTACAGCCCTACTTGTGCCAGGATCTGCTTCTTCTAGCCTTGATGTTGTTATTGTTGGAGCCCAGCCGACCATTTTACCAATGACAAGTGGGGTTTGGCCCCCAGTAGATGTTCATAAGTCTCAGCAACCGACTGTGCACTCTAACTATTCATTGCAGCAGCATGGCAGGAGTCATTTTGATTCACTGAATCCTATCAATGCTGCCTTGAATCAGGGTCAAAACGAACATCCATATATGCCTGAACAGTTTGATGGTCTTGAAAGGAAAGATCAAAGCTTGGTAATGGCAACGCAAGTTCCTGGACAACGTTCTGCATTGCAACAACGGAACTCATTGCATGGTACTTCTTTGCACCCACACTTTCCTCATGATGTTTGTGATGGTTTCCTTTCATCTGCAATTGGACCTTCACCTTCTCGCTTATTGGCACCATCCTTGAATCATGGTTATTCTCCCCAAATGCGAGGCGCTGTTATGAGTGTGGTCCCATCTAACTCAATGCCTGTTGCACAGCCTCCTTCATCTATCCCAAATATGCCCACTGGCTCTTTACATTTTCAGGGGGGAGCCATGCCACCTCTCCCTCTTGGTCCTCCTCCGGCATCTCTAATGATTACTGCCTCTCAAAATGCAGGTCCACTGCTTCCTAACCAACCTCAGGGTGGTGCGTTTACTGGTTTGATTAGTTCCCTCATGGCTCAAGGTTTGATTTCATTGACGAATCCAACTACCACACAGGTACTTGTTTAGATGAGGTTCTTCTGTGGTGTATATATTTCCTGTAGTGAAATTTATCTCAATGAAGCAATTTATTTTGTAGGATTCTTTGGGCCTTGAGTTTGATGCAGACCTCCTCAAGGTGCGACATGAGTCTGCTATAAGTTCTTTATATGCTGATCTTCCAAGGCAGTGCACAACATGTGGCCTTCGGTTCAAGTTCCAAGAGGAGCATAGTACTCATATGGATTGGCATGTGACAAGAAATCGGATGTCTAAGAACCTTAAGCATAAGCCTTCCCGGAAGTGGTTTGTGAGTGGTAGTATTTGGCTTAGTGGTGCGGAAGCATTGGGAACTAATTCAGTTCCTGGGTTTTTCCCTACTGAGGACATTGTAGAAAAGAAGGATGATGAAGAATTGGCAGTTCCCGCTGATGAAGATCAGAGCATATGTGCATTATGTGGTGAGCCTTTTGATGATTTTTATAGTGATGAAACAGAGGAGTGGATGTATAGAGGGGCTGTCTACATGAATGCACCCAATGGATCAGTGGAAGGCATTGATAGATCACAGTTAGGTCCATAGTGCATGCTAAATGCAGGTCAGAATCTAGTGTGGTTCCCCCTGAAGATTTTGTAGGATATGATGGGGTAGGTATTTTTATTTTTACATCTAATTGCATTGCCATATTTATTTCCCTTTTGCCCATATTATCTTTTAGTAGATCATTCTGTTATTTCATCATATTCCATGTTCAGGCTGAAATGCGATTTGTGTAAATTTTCGAAAGAAGATTTGTTTTGGAATTAAATATTGATAATTTTTAGAAGTGAACATGGGTGGGATACTTCTCGTTTGTATATTTTAGCATTACATTGTGGGAGCTTGATCAGTGGGGTGAAGTGAGACAAGATATTATCTGGCTTGGTTTGGCTTGGTTTGTTTGTTTTCAGGAATACAGAAATTTACCATGAGTTATACCTCAAGATTATAATTGCATGTAGGGCTTCTTGTTCCTGCAAGGCTGCAATTATAAACATGTTTTGATCATCTTATTCTTGCTTTTCTAAATGCCGAGAGGATGTCGTGACAAGCTGAGTTATGTAAATATTTATATCTAGTTCATCTTGTCTTATATTTTCTTGTTACTTACAGGGAAATCCTGAGGACAATACTCAAAGAAAAAGATTGCGGAGCTAATCTTAGTAGATCGGCATCTAAGCTTGGGTAACTTGGTTTGAGTTTCATGTTAGTGGTATGCTCTTGCTAAGTTTTATGTTAATGCTGGTCCTTGCAGTAGCTTGGCTACATGCCTAAACCTTGTACATGTATAGTTGAACTTGTATCATGCACATTATCTTGCAGCAAAAGAGGTTACAGATTTCCTCAGCTCCTAAATTTTGTTGCATTCTCCTTGTTTCTTTCCTGCAAAAACATACAGAGGAACATATTAAACATTCTTTTATAGTGTCGACAGTTGTCGCACGGCTTGGCATCGTAAACATGTTATATGGGGAACATTGCTTTGTTCTGTGTCTCTTTGTTTTTTCCTGCCCTTGTGATATTCTGCAGGGTCGCATGGGAAGCTTCAATTTGCAGATGCTGTTAGAAAGGCTCTCTGATTGAAGCAGCAACAGGATACAGATTCAATCCCTTTACCCTTAGGATTTGAAATCTTTATGTAAACTCCAATTGGTCGTGAGATTTGGTTGATTTCGTTTCTGAAATCATGTGTACTGAATTGTTGAATTTATCTTGTTTTGGTCTCATTTTGTTTCAAGTGGGATGTGGAAGGTGTAATCTTTTATCCTATGTCAAATGTCTATAACTCCAATTCTGAAAAAAAAATATTTCATTTATATGATTATCAAAGAAGTTAAAAGTTTTTCTCATTGCTCATAACTTCAGATTTAAAAGCTCATATCTAAATGATCAATTGACATTTACAAGTTTAAAAAATTTTAATCTTTGATTTCTCTATAGAAGTTTGGCTAGTCGTTGCCGCCTACACTGATGGTCGCTATCATCTGTCTTCATCAATCATCCACAGCTAACGGCGGCCGAATGCCACTGAACTTTACCAATCGGTTTGTCTCAAAGCCTTGAAGAAGGATCCGGTGTTTGTTTTGTGGAAAATACTTCGAAGCATGTAGATCTAGCTTTAGACCTTTACGTTGTTGATCTCCGATCTCGCTCCTCCACCATCGAATTGAGCTAGTTTCAAGGTATGTGATTCTCCTTGTCTCGATGAACTTTCACACTGTTTGAATCTCCAAAACGTTGCTCCAGTCACTGGGAATCGCTAAAAACCATACAACCAATGTCACCCCCCTTTTTTCAGTTTGTTTGTTCCCCTTTTGTGTAAACGGTTAGGGAGTTTATATATGAGCATGAGAACGATGGTCGATCGAAATTTTAGGGATATGGTAGTTTGTCAGTTTCTTGATTTAAATCAATAGTTACGTTTTAAACTGATTATTTAACTGAAAATGAGTTGGTTAAGAATGCTTTTGTGTTCCAAACATAATTTTGAACTAAAAACACTCCCATAGACGTTCCCAAACTCTAAGTGTTGACTTGACCTCGAGTTTGGGTTTAGGTCGAATTTCGTGATTTTTGGACCGGAGATGAACTTAGGTGTACTGGCTTGAGCCTGATAAAATCGATGCTGGCATTCTTTATACAAAAAAAGTATTAATGGAATCAGTTTGTATATGTTACAATGCTCTCGATTACCATGCCGGCAGTCATCGGCTCCACGGCCATCATCCATCACTAGCTACTACACTTGTCTCGGGGGCTCAACTATACGACACCATATTAACTGAGCTTTTATTGCACTCGACACCAGCAATGGCAATTTCTCCTTTTTTTTTAGTACGAAATTTGAACTTATATACGTTACTTTTCAGCATTTTTTTTTTTTGCACATGCATATGTAAATTTAAATGATGGTTTGAAATTTACATCATTTCTTGTCACTGAACCAATAGCTTGTTGGATTTGAACAGACTTTATGACCCTGTAAAAGTACAGAAGCAACACAAGCTGGGAACTCAGCATCACCATGGACGCAACCAAATGGTACGATGAAATTGGTTTATACTTGTCAGAATAGTGGTCCTATTAATTAATTAATATCACGTGGATGCATGAACGGACGCAGTGGTGAACTTAAACTTATAAAATTTTAAGGAATGAAAACATATTTTTAATATAAAATACATAAAAAATTTAAAATATATAATAATTTTAGATTTTTAGGGGACGACCGCCCCACCCGTTCCCTTAGGTCTGACCTGCGTGGATGGATATCCATCTATCGATTAATTTCAACCACTTTTGGTCCATCATATCACGTGGATACAAGTTTTTTAACAAAAAGAAGAAAACATGCATGTGGATACAATACAAGTTTAAATCAAGCCTTCATTTTTTTTTTCTACTTTGGGTCCATTTTTCATTTATCACATTTTATTTCTTAAACAATTTCGAGGCAAATTATAGTTTAATCCCGTTTATTTAATAAAATTAATCTCATGTTTGAAAATTCAGAAATATCAGAACAATTATCAGAAAAGAATTATTACTCGATCATCTGATATCTAAAAATTTCTGGACTAGTATTTTTGAGGTGTTACAATAATAATAGAGGAAGCAATCGATGACACAAATGAAACTCGTGATGAAGAAAGTCGATCGTCGACTAACAAGGCAGTGTCATGATTACTGGTAACGAGCTGAAATGACTCTAATACGTTATGAGAAAGATGAGATCGACGATGACTGGTGGAGATTAATTGGTAAACATGGAGGAGTGATGAATATGAATTAGGGTTAAAAAATCTAAATAACAACAAAAACTCTTTTTTTATTCAAATGCAACGATTATGGATCAACAATAACATTAGGTAGAATTAGGGATGGACACGTTTCGGGTTCTGTCAACTCGACCAGACTTAAAAATTTTACATCATCCACCTGATCAGACCAGACCCAAAAATTTTACATCATCAACCGACCTTAAAATTTTACATCCTCAACCCGACCTAAACCCAACCCGAACTTTTGAGATAAAATCCGAACCCGATCCCACTTGAAATAATATATTTATTAAAAAATATTATTTTATTCAATAAATATAGGGATTTAATTAAAACTAATAATATATAAAGGGGTGTTATTGTAATAATCCCTAAATATAGAAGGTAAAATTATATTTTTCCGGGACGGGTCGAGTCATGTATTTTTCACTTTAAATCCGAACCGAATACAACTTCTAAAAAACCCAACCCAAACCCAAATTTTTTTTATAAAAAAATGACCTGATTGAGTTGAGTCGGAACCGGTCGGATTTGTGGTACATGCCCATCCCCATGTAGAATAAACTAATTTCTTACAAAATTCTTTAGCGGTCCAGCATACTCAACAACACCTCATTGTCCAACAATAAATGCATAAAACAAAGTATAACAAAGGCAACACCTAAACTATTCAATAAAAATCACAAATTAGATCAGAATCTAACAAAATGTTTGATGATGGAGGAAAAAAAAAACAGGAGTCGAAACTAATGCGTCAACGATAGCACATGAAACGGAAAGAAATTAGACAAATTTTCGTAGTGTTCTCAAAATGGTGAGTTCTCCTACCATATCTAATATTACAACTGATGAAGTTATGTTCGGTTTATTAAGCACATGGTCTGTGCTTGGTTTATTAAGCACTACTGCACATTACGGCAGCTTTGATCCTTTCAACTGTGCATTTAATTAGGCTATTGACGGTAGCCACAGATCCGTGAGAGAGCTTTGCAGCTGGAACTGAATCAACTAAAATCTGGAAGGCAACCGTGAGGAGGGAGCCACCCGAACCGATTTCGAGAATTCCTCCTCCGTCATGTCCTGGACCGTCGGGAAGAATTGCGAAACCGGACGGCAACAGCGCAACATAATCCGGGTCACCGCCGCTTAGGACGACGTTCATCGCGACGATATCGACCGGGGCGTATATCACATAGGACCCTGTGGCATCAGTGCAGCTCTCTTGAAGTATCAACATGTTGCTTTGGCTAGAGTTTGCACTCTGTGGATTGGATTTACAATCGGAAAATGTTAGCATAATGGATGACTGTCATGGAAATGTTAACTTGCCATTGCCGACTTACATTTACTCGCAGTAAAGAGACACAATTGCCTGGATCACGGCCATTGGCTATGTGAGCCACTTCTTGAACTAGGCCACCATTTGATAGGATATCCCACTAGAAATTCAGGTTCAAGCTGCAAATTAGTATATATTCTGCAAATTTGTGCTTGAATTCTACATTGGAAGCTTAATGTACCTCGCTTCGAGAGTTCTCGTCCCTTAGGAAATCGAATATCCTTTTCGGTGGGACTGGGATCCAGAAGGAAGTTGCAGCACTAAGCACAATACCAGGAGGCCTGCCTGGATCATCCATACTCTTCCGGGTCGTAACTCGTACATCGTCGGAACCTGTTGCCGCTAGAGTCGTCCAAGCATGGGCCGTAGAAGCACCGACGCCGGTACAAAAGCTGTTCACCATCCTCTCAGCCAACTTCAACGTACTCTTCCTCCCTTCTGAACTTGTTATAACTGCAGAGATCAATAAGTAAACCGAATGTTAACGTCAGAGTCACATGAAGTGCATTGCAGTCGACAAGGTATCTATAAGAACACAAGATGGTAAATGTTGTTTTACCCATAGATCCCCTGCTGGAATGTTACTCGCCATTGAACTCGCGAGACGTTCGCACTGTCGATCTAATGTCGCCAGCCAACGTTTTGCTCCGAAAGCTAGACCGGAGTTAACTACTGGTCTGTATATGTTGTGGACAGCTCTGTCATCCACTTCTACATGCTCAACCCATATAACCTGAAGTATCAGGAAAATAAGTCATAATATACACATACATATACATGTACATATACATATGAGTTGAAAGAGAGTAACTTACCTTAGAGTATCCATTTGGCAATTCTTGGATCAAACAACCAGATGGTCTTCTTCTACACTTGGACACAGAATTAGGGCGTAAATTATCCAAGGAAACATCAACTACTGCCCAAGTTCCGTCAATATGCTGCTTACAGTACCTCACGAAGTAATTTTCCCGAGTTGGTACAAGTGGTGAAGGAACTTGAAACTCGGCCGTCATCTGAAAATGAAACATGTTAATCTTAAGGCCGAATCGACAAAAAAAGAAGAATCGAAGTGCTCATTACCACTTGCAAAGCTCCATTATAGTTTCCTGCAACACCAGTTGATAGTACTTCAAGAGTCATAGCCCTTGAAACAATACCGCAGAACACACTTGACCATTGGTTCTGAAAATCAATGATTTTATTAAGTGGGGTGGATCATCTAATTTTGTGTAATGGACCAAAATTTGGAAATGAAAATGAAATCGTACCACGTCCATGAGAATCTCAACTAGGTTGACATGATTCATAATGACAACTGCAGATTCCCTTGAAGCTTCAGACCTCAACCCCAAAGGTTTTGATCCAACTCCCCTCGGGAAGGTTCTTAAGTATTCATCTTCGTTCAATGCATCTGTAGAATTATCACCAGGAACCCACAGTGGTTCACCAGATTGAGCCAATCGGATTAATTCCTCCATTGCAGCAACAGCAAGCTCAACAATCATAGGCTTGTCTGCTTCTATAGGTCCAGAGACATAACTTAGAAGATCACCACTGCGGTTCCTTTCCCCTACGAATCCTGACTGTGTCCCAAAATTGCTAGCTCCAAGATCAACAGAGCGTGAATGTAAGTGAGAAGAAAGGTAAGGAAAGGAAGATAAAGGCTTGCCAACATATTTAGCAGCTATTCCAGATATCCTATCAATCTGTAAAAGAAGAACAAAGAAACATAATAAGCAAATACAAAAAAGAAGAAGAGAAGGGTGTCAGTGTGTAGGATTTTTTATTTACCTCTTCCTTTAACCGAGCATTTTCTATTCTCAAATGCTGCTCATCAAATGACATCTCTCCAAGAGCAGCTGGGCCTCCGCAGCTGGGGCATGTAGCATTGCTGAGAGCTTCCTTGTACCTATTGTTCTCGGCATGGAGCTTTTCATTCTCAGCCTTCAATATAGCATTTTCATGGCGTTCATGCTGGGCCTGTTTATGAAGATAAAATCTAGCAGTTAAGCTAGGATATGAAATCTTACTACATAGACATGGATATTTGGTTATTTACCTTCATTTGGGTTCGCCTGTTTTGGAACCAAAACTTGACTTGTAGAAGCTCTAACCCCAGCTCGCGGCTAAGCTCCTTCCTTTGCTTATATTCGGGGTGAGGGCACTCCTTAAAGAATCTGAGCAAAAAAGTCTCAAAAATACAAAAGAATTCATTCTCCAAAGATGAACAATGGCCAAAAAAAAGAATGAAGAAGAAGAAGATGAAGAAGAAGACTTACGCTTCCATCTGCTCGATTTGATGCTGTGTATGACGATGATAACGCTTCCTTTTGGGGCGTTGGTTAGGATCTTGATCATCCCCCGATGGAGAATCCATGGTTTCAGTACCAGATTTGATCTCATAATCATCATCTCTGATATTCCCCATTAGTTCACTCTCAGAGGTCTTATGAGCCATGTCGAACATATGGGAACTGTCGAATAAGTTGGGGCTAAACATGATAACGAAATGCTCAAATATCGACGCCTATGGAGTTTCTGAGTTCTGCCAAGACAACATATGTAAAATAATGGAAGAAAGAAACAGTTGAACAGCAAAAGAGAATAATAAAGGATTAAGAAGAAAACAAAACAGCTAACTAAAAACAAAGTACAAAAAAAGTCTAGAAGGAAAATAAAAAAGTCAAAACCGGTGCTTAATGGAAGTACAAACTAAAAAAAAACAAGTAAACCATAGAGCTGTAATCCATGTACCGAAGTTCGCTTATCGAAGGATCTTTCTTCAAATAACCAACAAGTCAAACCATAAAAGCAACCATTTATTTCTTAAACCAAGCTATTCTATCCCCATGGAAGAAGTGAAAGAAACTAGCAGCTAAAGATTACCTTAAAGATTATTGGAGAAGACGACTGAGAGCATAGAGCGATAATCTTCTCGTCTTAAATGCAGCATTGAGTCGGTCATTGGAAACATCATGTTGGGAAACATAGACAGCCGATGACTTTTAAAACCCTAACCAGCAGCAGCCGTACAAGTTACATATATCTGCCCCCTTCCTGCTTGTTAGATTCTAGGCTTCGGATTCCTTATTAGGGTTGATTTGAAATGTATAAAATTTGATTTGAAATGTATAAAATCTTCTTTCGTGTGCTCTTTTTAACTTAGCAAAATATTATATAACCAAATATATGAAAGGGAGAATGGAGAAAAATGTTGTCAACAAAGATACGCTGCCATTAATTAACAAGCTGGTCCAGGGGAAAGAAAACTGGTTTCGAGAGTAAAGACTTTGTCACAGGCAAAATACGAAAGGGAAACCCTTTTTGAGCATTTGTTGAGAAAGATTAATGAAAAAGGATCGAGGGTCTTTAAGAGTTTCGCGTTCACTGGAAAAAATCCCACGGCCACGGTGGTTTTTGGCAGAAACCTACCACCAATAGAGAGGAGATTGGTAGAGAAGAAAAATGAAGAGAATTGAAGAAACAGGTGGAGGATGAGGAGTTAATTGCAGAGCATTAATGGTGGGTGAGAGCTTTAATTGCTAGTCATATAGAAAAAAGCACCTTCCCTTCCCTTTGTTTAAATTTACTTTCCAAAGCATTCAACTAGGTTTTCACCCCCAAGCTTCAATATATATAGATTTTTTCAAATAACCATGCATATATATATATATAAGCACAGTATATACAGGCTGAGTCTGAAGAGTATAGGCTGTTCTGCAATTGCAGATTTCAGAAGCATTATAATATACATAATAATGTTGATAAACGCGTGCATATGCATCTACTAGATATGCTTGCCTACCAAAATCTATGCTGCAAATCTCATAATCAATTGCAGATTTCAGAAGCATTATAATATACATAATAATGTTGATAAACGCGTGCATATGCATCTACTACATATGCTTGCCTACCAAAATCTATGCTGCAAATCTCATAATTTTCAAACAAAATTCAGTCACGTCTCTTTCTTAGACATATATGTATATATAAATTAATTATAGACAATGAAAGGCAAAACCAACATCTCAAAAAACAGTATAAATTTCCATAAATTAATGTCATTTTCCATGTGATATTTAAACTATATAAATACCATACTATTGTATATCTCTCATGCTTTTTCTAATAATTTTTTACAATTTTTTAATAGACATGAACTTTAAATTTATTCATTAAAAAATCACATTTTATATTTTTTGAATAATATGAGTCATTAAAATATATAATATGTTCACAATATTTCCTAATAATTGATAACGTACACAGACTCTGCAAATATAACTATTCGAAGTTAGAACTTTTATATAAAACAACATTAATTTTTAACACAGATGACATTTAATAGATTTATTCCATAGTTTTCATCCTCTTTCTTTATTAAAATAATTATTTTAGAAAAATCACTTGTGTGATAAAACAATTATATGTGAATTACAATAAAGTTCAAATTTATTGTAAGAATAAAGATAATTAGTTTTATAGAATATCTTAGGTTAACTTAAAAATAGAATTACGTCATTAATTGTAAAAATTTTGATTTTTTTTAAATATTGTAAGAAAGTTTTGGACTCTATGATAATAAATGAATAGATAATAGGATAATTATATATAATTTTAAAAATTTACAGAAGTTATTAATATAAATGAAAATATTTTTCTACTCTTAAGAATATGATCAACTTTAGCTAACATAAATTTATAATTAAACTTTTAAATATCAAATTATGATAACTTAGAAGGGTTCACAATTAAGTATGCATAGTATGTTTTTTACGTGACAATAATTGTTGGAAATATGGACCGGAAAACAACAACGTTAGCACTAACTGGGAATAATAAACTTAAAGGAAAAATTCGAAACCCTTAACCGTGTCGTGGTGGAACCAATGCCTTAGAAATGATTTCTCCCCAATGTGTGTAATCACTCCAATAAGCAGATCATTCCCCGATGTTAACACGATCACTCCAAATTTCGTACACTCGGAATCATAGAGGACTGCCGGTGGTATTGCTCCTTAGATCACCAAAAATCTCTTAGTAGTTGTGAGAGCTTTTGAGATAATTATTTGAGAGTGAATTGGTTGAGTTGAGAAGCTGGAATAACCTCTCTATTTATAGGCTTCACGTTAGGGGCAAAAAGGTACAATGTGCATCAGATATATTTCTAATTTAATTGTTGGATTTAAACTTTATTGTAATAGCTGAATTAAACAAATGATCCTAACCTCAAAACAGTCCAGGTTCATAGTTCAATTTCCAGTCGTCTGTAACTCCTACTATTATTACTGTTACTCCTACTATTATTACTGTTACTCCTGTAATTGGCATAATAAGCAGCTGTTAATTCCATTTAAATAAAGATGTAAAACATTCCAAATACATCCTACGTTACTTACACTCTGAAATTTAAATCAAACACAACCTATAAATATCATACTAAAAATTCTTTCACAATTTTATTTGTTCTTTTAGAGAAAAAATTCCTTACGAATTTTCACTAAAAAATATAGAATCCACGAGAACGTGTTGAAGACACGTACTGCCACGACCACGAGCCGAGCCGAGAAGGAAGAACGAAGACACTTATTGCCTTTTTCTCTATCACTCAATAAGGGAGTGGAGAATGTAAACCTTAAATACCCAATACCAATGCATTTCCCACTCAATATTGGATTGAGCATTACCAACATTCCCTCACTAATGCGAAAGAATTTTTTGAAACTCGAAAACAATCTTTCCAGAAGAGCAATAGCGAGATTAGTTGATTAAGCACTAGTGAATGTATCTTGAACTAGTACATAGTGATCATGAGCTGTCATTCTCTTAGATAAGCGAAACTAGTCTTGAACTTTTTAAGATAGAGGTAAACTCGTAACACACAACTAACCCCTTTATCCACATGAGTCTTCGATGTGTAAGATATATATACAAAAGTATATATTTGGCCATCTTACCTCATGATTCTAGTAATTGTACTAGAAAAATGACCCACCATTTTTCATAGAAGGTGGTTAACCCTTCTCACTTACTTAGGTTATTTCATCAGGTTTATCTCGACATAAACCACCCAAAATCGGGTTATGAAATAATTAAGAGCTTATACAACAACTCAACATCACAAAGAGTATGTTGACTTTCTTCAAGTTCACTATAATTGAACCACCCAAACTCTGAGATAATAAGTCATTAAGAATAAATATTTAACGTCTTTAATTGGTGAATTCAATTTTTCCTTCTCACTAGGACCATCTGAACTTTAGATTTGAATTCATTAAGAGTTGTTTTTCTCATAAAACTCAACCTTTTCTAGAGATAAGTTCAACTTGTCCTTATCAATTAGGACTACCCACTCAACTATGAGTTATGAACTTATTAAGAATAAATATTCAACCAAAATCGGTAAATTCATCAAGTCTTTCCCACTAAGACCATCCAAAGTCTGGGCTATGAATTTATTAAGAGTAATTAAGCTCATCCTAGACATGTACATTGTTCGTTATAGGGATGAATTGATTAATGTACATTATGAGTCTTTCTGTGGTTTTGTTTGACCACATTGAACTTAGATAAATAAGTTGGGTATCCACTATAAATTCCTCAACCAATGGGCTTTAAACTCATCCCCCTCGACAAATCTAAGACCAACTTATGACTTAATCCTTTGGTAAGCGGGTCTGATAGGTTCTTTTATGACTTTACATACTCTAAAGTGAGTACTCCATTCTTTATCAAGTGTTTAACCGATTCATGTCTTATACGAATGTGTCTTTTCTTACCATTGTAAGCTTGGTTCTTGGCCACAGTTACTGCAACTTGTGAATAACACAACAAGGAGACTAGAGGTATCGATCTTCCCCATAAAGAACTCTCTGCTAACAAATTTCTGAGCCACTCGGCTTCCTGCCCAGCTAAGTCAAGAGCAATAAACTCGTACGTCTTCTTTGCGGATTTCTACAAGATTGCTGCTCCTCCCAAAGTCAAAATATATCCACTCGTAGAACTTACCTCATTATTATCATAAACCCAATTGTCATCATAATATCCCTCTAGCACGGCAGGATAGCCAACAAACTCAAGTATTCAATCAATCGTACCCTTAAGGTACTTGAGTAAGCATATGAAAGCAAACAAGTGCTCACCACTCGGATTATGGGTATATCTACTAAGTTTGCTCACAACATAGGTAATATTAGACCAAGTATAGTTCATTAAGAACATAAGACTATCGATTATCTTAACATATTCGATTTGGGAAACACTACTCCTTTTATTCTTGAAGAGATGTATGCTAGAGTCATAAGGTGTTCGAAAAGGGACAACCTCAAAGCTATCAAACTTTTTTATTACTTTTTCAATATAGTGCGTTTGATTTAAAGAAAATCCATTTTCAGTTTTGGTGGCTTTGACTCCCAAGATCACATTAACTTCTCCCAGATCAGTCATCTGAAACTTAGTGGATAAGAAGCTCTTTGTTTTGTTAATGGACTCAATGTTCGTACTGAAAATCAACATATCATAAACATACAAACTTATGGTGACATAATCAGTACCGAACATCCTCGATTACAAGCATTGCTCTGAACAATTCACAACAAAAACAAAACTAAGGATAATTATATGAAATTTCTCATACCACTATTTAGGAGCTTGCTTAAGGCCATAAAGAGACTTTTTGAGCATGCACACTTTGCCTTCCATACCATATGTCTCAAAACCTGGCGGTTGCTCTATATAGATCTTTTCGTTTAGATCTCTATTTAAGAAAGCAGTTTTTACATCTATTTGATGTACTTGAAATTTGTGAATAAAGGCTAGTACAAACAATGCACAAATCGTTGAGATTTTTGTCATGGGAGAGTAAGTATCAGAAAAGTCTAAACCAAAATTTTGAGTGAACCCTTTGATGAATTACCTTGCCTTGTACTGCTGGATCAAACCAGAGGACCCACTTGTTGATGATCAATTTGAATCCTCTCAGAAATTCCACTAATTCCCAATTATGATTAGACA